CGAAGGACGAGTGGTGGTCCATTATGTGTTTATTTATGCTTCCGTTTTAAATAATATGATCGTCATGAACTTGTATTAATGTTTGGACATGTGAAATCGTTTTCGAACTAAGTAAAATGAAAAATCGGGTTTATGAATCCCCGTAAGTCCAGACACGACTTGGACTAAGTAAAATGTGTTGGTTAATGCCCCTGATTTCGAAAATGAATTTTGAAAAATTTGTTCTGATTTTTAGAAAGTCCGGAATTTCTGTAAAATCAAAGTGGGGTGTTACAGCCGCAGGATGAAGGGCAACACGGTTTTCTCTGTCTCGGTTGTCAGACTGTATTAGGATGCATGTAGCTCGGTTTTTAATTATAATTTATGTTCAAATTTATTTTTTATGAATACGGAGAAACAAAAACACATTTCAGGATGTATTTTATTTTATAAAATATAATACACAATATATTTCAAATTTTAGTTTGTTTTATGTTATAAAATTACTATTGCAATTAAGTTAATTATGTTTCTACACTACAGCGTAGATAAAGGTCGAAGTCTCAATACACAATGGTGGTGCAGAAAATGAGTAGATGTGAAGCATCCTTATGTCCATTGGCAAGTGTAATAAATGACAGAAAAAAGGCATTGTGTCAGAAGGTAATGTTTACCATATTTTCATGACTTTGAGCTTTCGCAAACGATTACGGAACGACTGAGCTAGGTAACGTTTTCTCATGCTCAACATGTTCCATAACCAGTAGAAGAACAAGCAAGGAGAGAATCAAATGCAATAAACGAAGGAACTATTTTCTACGTTAAACATTTCGTGAATGATCGAAATCATGAGCAAAACACCAATCGTTTTGGTTACTTTAGATACTATTTCCCTAGTCCAATTTCTCTCATTCTCATTCGTTTTGGTTCAACTTCATATTTGAATCACTCGCCGTCGTACTTCCTTTTGACTCACGCGGTGACGGGGAAAGCTGAGCCCTAGCTCAATTTAAGCAACAACGACCCATACCGTTTCGAAAGTAGAGGAATGTTATGATAAAACTTCGTTTGAAACGATGCGGTAGAAAGCAACTTGCGGCTTGAAGGATAGGGTCCGTTGTGGATTAAAAATCCACCATTTTTCCAGTTCTCTAGGAATGAGGATGCTCTTGGCTCGACGTTGTTTGTTGTGTTCCGCTTGAACCCTTCATTTTTGCTGGGTTATAAATAGTTGACCGCGCGTCGCAACGCGGCAAATTAATATTTATGTTTTTCCTCGACAAACCTCTACTAACTAGTAGCAGTGGCGAGCAAGGGTCGATCCCACAGGGAGTTTGAATCGAATCGTGAATTTTCTCGTATTAACTGAATTATAAAAGCAATAAAAGGTGGGGGGATTTTTGAATTAATAACTAAACTAATTAAAGATAAAATAAAAACAATAAAAATAAAAATAAAATAAAAGAAATAAGAGAATTTTTTAGTTCACGGTTCCGTCTACACCCTCGACTGACTCATCTAATCAATTCTGGCATCAAATCTCGCTATCTTATGAAATTACTAGCCCTAGGCAACGACACGGTCTGTTACCC